TGTAAAGATAGTTGCGTATTGCTGTATACCCTGTTTGTATGAAGCAATGTGTGAGGAAGGTGCACAACTAACGCGCTCTGCCCTGGACAATAGACCAGCTTTGATTTGATCTATTGTACAGTCTATTTAAGTTCCTCAAAACAGCAACGTGCCAGCAATGCGCCTCAACACGCCTCCTTTTATAGACCAGAACGCCTATGGGTGCACATACGAGCACAAATGCATTTGCTATTAAAACAGCGTGCTGCAAAAAGTCAAAAAGACTCTTGCGCCAAGCTGAAACTAGCAAACAACAACTGCGTCACGCCTTGCGCCGGGTGTATGACAGGGCCCACTTAGTCCACCAACACAATAGCGAACAGTTATTTGTTTGTTTATGTCACTGTTGCTGCCAGAGATCAGTTGTTTACATTGTTTACTATGTTACTTAAATGCGAAAACGGTGGTTTTTTGTACTTAAAAACAAGACGATGTAATAGCTTACAGTGTTACAAATAAATTGAGACTACAAACTGATTAAAAAGTCAAAGTTATAGTTAATAAAATCTAAACAAAGCAGTTGAGTGTTTTGTCAGTCAGTCCCTTTTAGCCAGTAACTTACTTTCTAGTTGACTGATGGAGAATTTAGCCAATGGGTTCATGATCTTTTAAAATATGGTGACATTTATTCCTTTATTGAATACGTTTTTGTTTCATTGGTCTTTTTGCGCAATCATTGGTTCAGTGACCTGTCAATCATTATGTGACATGACTAGTAGGTATTAAATTTAAAGCAATAAATTCAAGGTAACAGAGCTCATACCACATCTACAGTATACATCAAGTTTGAACTCCTTACAAGATTTTGAGTGGAAAACAAAGTGTGTGCTGAAAAAAAAAATCATTTAATTTGAAGACATCAACATGCCACAAAAAACAAACTATACATCTGGTTCATTTGACAATAACAGAAAAAAAGACCCTCAGAGATAAAAACAGAAATTCGAGCACATGATACTAGCTAGGCTTCTGTGTGCTTTTTCCACACGAAAAGCTGGGATGCATTTTGTCTGATTCCACTGTACTCAAAAAAGCTTGAGGCAAAATACATGACCAGAGTAGGTTACTGGTTTGTATCACGATTAAACCTCTGCAATGCTATCGCCGAGCCTTGGGGATCTTTTAGCGAAGAATCGCCTCCGGAAACAATCTTTTGTCTGTACAGATTAACCAGTGAAACATCTCTCATCCAAATTCACCTTGAAAGCCCTGCACCTCTCGAGGAGAATTTCACCTTTCCAGTGCTCTTCCTCGCTCTGTGTCATCAGGCCTGAGGTTTGGGCCAGAGTGTGTTCCTTCCCCTTCAATTCACCACATCTCAATGGCCATCCAAGTCATGCGCAAGAACCAGGCTCTGAGCAATGACTAACAAATTTGTTGAGGAGAAAGTAATGTTAGGTTTGCTGACATTGGCAAGCTATGCCATGCGCTCAGACTGCAGAGAAAAGCAAGAGATAAATTATAAGCCTCGCACATATATCTTTGTTTCTTTTATTGTATGAATCGAATCAATAGCACTATTTGGAGTTTTTTTTTTCCTTTTTCTTTTTATGATACAAGACACTTTCCTTTTTTAAGACATAACAACAGTCTGCTCGAGGTTAGATAGTCTTATCCTTACTCAGCACTTCCAGTGAAACTTTCTTTTGTGATGTTAGGCATAATAATGTATCTTCTGGAACAGCTCAATTTCTGTTTAGCAAATAGGTAACACTTTAGGTTCTCTATGTAATCTTTAATGCGATACCATATATATGTATCATAGTGGATTAGCTGTAATTTCTATATATATATCTGTACTAATGCATGTTTAACATCTCAGTTATGAATTTGTTAAGGACGTGTCTTATGAACCACAGTCAGAAATGACATTTTCTATTAAGGGACAATGTTTGCCTTTTAGAATTAATTTTAACATAATTTTTTGTTCTACATTCATAAGACAGACTAGTAGGATAGAATAAAGTGTCAATTAAAAAGTCCAATATTTTATTAGTTGAACCCAATTGTGATGTATATTTAAAGGTTGCAGTCTCTAGAACCATGCAGGTGTTCAGAACGGAACTGCTCTTGGAGATGTTATGCAAAAAACTCCTATTATAAAAACTGAATATGTGAAATAAAGCAACTTACACTTTCTGAAATGTGCTGTTTATGAGGAGAGAATTACTGCATTCAACAAAACTATGGCACTTTCAGTACTGATTAACCTGAATGCCTCTGATTGGCTACTACATTCACATGCTTAATGGAATGTGATTGGCTCAGAAGGCTCAAGGGTCTCATTTATAAACATGGCTAACACACAAAACATGGGGGTGGAAATGGGGTGAAATGTTCCCATGCAAAAAGTTGTGATCTATAAAAAACTAACTTGATGGAAAAATATAGGAAAAGTACACTGAAAAAAAGCATTGGATTCACTACATTTTTACGGTATGTAAGTGGTTCCAAATCATTTATATAGGCTGAATAACAAACTAATTAAGTTAAGCATTACTAAAGTTAATTAGATTGTTTAATTTCAACGCATATAAATTGTTTGCAACCACTTAACTTAAGAAAAAAATAGTAAATTTAATGAATCTTTAGTTTTTTCAATGTAAACATATTTAACTTAACTATCGACTTTCTAATGAAATAAAGGTTTCTAAGCAAATGTTATAAATCAGACCACATGTCTGTAATCTATTAAAGGTACTCATAAAAATACTCATCTGAAAAGATTTTAGTGTTACTTGGGGTTATAACAAGACTTTAGAACTGTTATGACTTGAATAAATATGAATAAAGAAATAAAATAAAGAAATAAAGAAATAAGTTGTATTGTATTCAATGTCAATGAAGTATCCTTGCCTTAAAGAGTAACAAACAAGCAAACAAGCAAATAAATAAACAAACAAACAAAAATTTTATTTAATGCGCACAACACGCTTCTTTTTTTTTTTTTTTTTTTTTTTTTTACAATTCACTTTAATTGCAACATCCAATAGTTCGGTTTAATTATCCATGGGGATTTTCATCCTATGATCTTAAATTTGTGAGACATTTGTTTGTTAATTTTCAGGGCTTGATTTCCCATTTCAAAACCTTTTATGAACAGTAGTATGTTTATTAATGAACATTAGCCTAGATTAATAGATGCCTATGATGATGATAATAAGTAAGGATATGTTTACACTGCAAGGCTTAGTGCTGAAATCAGATTTGTTCTCATTGCCGTTCACACTGTTGTTATAAATGTGGCCAAAATCAGATTTCCAATGTGAACAGATACTAAACTAACCCGCATGCTTAATAGTACAACTACGCACAGCACAAAATGTCTAATTATGCACACAATGTGTATCTTGTATGAAGTGAATAAAGCACTTTGTCAAATTATGTTAATTTTAATATAATTAATGCAGTTTTCAAAGACAACCACTGTGTTTTTTATGACCTGTAAATAGTTGTTTTCCAAGTGCTAATGTTCATTTTAATGTTTGAAATCTGAAATAAAGTGTTTTGTGATCGAAAACACTGATAATTTGTCATTTATGACAAGCGCACGTCTCTCTGACCATCGGTGTGTAGTGAACTCTTTAAGGGTTAATGAGCAGCCAGTCATTTAAAAAAATGAACAACCTTAACTTTTGGTAAAGTATTTGCCCTGTGTACTATTCTGCTACGCTGCTGAGAACTCGAGGATGTTTGCAGCACAAACCAGCAGAGAATAATGACGTGTCAATCAATAATAATGTGAAAGTCACATGATTTTCTGCATAACCGTTCACACTCGGATTGCAAAACACCAGATCTGTATCAGATTTAATACCACATATGAAAGTGGCACAAATCGGAATTAAAAAGATCAGATTCCATGTGGTTTGGGCTGTTCACACTGTTATGACAAAAACAGATCTGAGTCACATGTGGGTTGTTCAGCATTAGTCCATGATACCCAATGCATTATCTTAACCAGCGAACCAGTCAAACAAATGTTCTGCAAAGTTTTCCTTGCTTTAATTAATTCAATTTATAATGTTACAAAGACAACCTTATAAGAAAAATAAAAAGCCTGAAGAATCTGCCCTCATTTATCCATGCATATTTACACCAAACAGAAACACTGTTTCCTTTGCTTTTTAGCTTGTGTCACTGAATTAAGCCCGGCTGCCATTAATTCGCCACCCTGTGTGTTTATCACCTGCAGGCCTTGTCTAAAAAGTGCTCTCCTAAATTGCCAGTTAGCAGATAAAGGCATTTTGTCATGGGGCAGGATTTGTAATTTCAAGGTATAATAAATTATCAAAATATTAAGGTATGTAAAAATTTCAAAAAGAAAGAAAAAAAAGAAAGCAGCAGCAGCATGTGTCTAAATGTGAACGGCCTCCAGCTTTGCTCTGTAATAGAATCTTGGACTTTTCCTACGTAAATTGACGGATATAATTCAAATGAGCTGAAGCGTTTTAAGGTCAGAGGAATATTAAATTCATGCAGCACTGACAAAAATTGTCTGAGAAGAAATAAGAAACTATAAAACACTTTCCACCTGCATATACTCAATATTCACCACGTAATACTGTGTTTACACTCACGCAGATGGCGGAACGGCGTTAATGTCCACGTCAACTTACATAAAAAGATTCATGCCTTTTTTTATTTACCGTGTATGAAATTAGCTTCATATTCAACAGCTTTTCATCCACACTCAACGCTTTCAAACACACACAGCACAACTTTTACAGCCCTGGTCCAAAGATGTGTCAATCACGCAGACCTCAACTCTCTAAACTCTGACAATCACACATAAATTCGGCAATTTCTATCTCCATTTTTCCCTTTCTTTCCTCTCATGCATCACACATTCGACTGTCCTCCTCCAAAACAGATAAGCGCAGAACGCGGAAAAAGCAAACCACGACCACGGAAATTCTCTACACGGTGTCGATCAGTAAAATTAGCATGACAATACTCACTGTGGGGAGAAGGGGGCAGTCGGAGCGTGGCAAGTCACTCTGTCCGATGAACCTGCACGAGCGAGAGAAAGAGAGAGAGAGAGAGAAAGAGAGAGAACAGTCAGCTGTGAAAGCACAGTTAAGAGAAGGGAGGGGTGACGAAGAGCCGGCACACACAGAAAAACACAAGAAAAGAAAACTGAAACACGGAGGAGAACGAGGATGAAGCCGAACGGTAGGAGAGAAATTGGAAGGCAGCGGAGGGAGGGGAACATGTGATGAGAATAAAGGACACGTGGGAAGATGCTGTACTTTTAAAAGTTCCACACACGTTTGGGAGAGTTTTCTTACTGTTAGTCAGTCATGTGACTGGGTGAACCAGATACCTTATTTAACCTTGCAGTCGGAGTTTGATTGTTTACTAGAGCAATAGCGGCAAGCAAATAATGAGCTTTATTGCGCTTTGCATGGCAATACAACATGCTTTTTTTTGCAGATTTAATGATTTTTGGGGCGCGATAATGAAATGATTTACACAGAAATGTAAATTGTGGCATTATTTACTCACTCTTTTGAAAGCCTTATGTTGTTATGTATTGCTTGTGGAACACAATATAAAAACTTTTCAAAGAAACTTCATATTTAAAAATACCTCTTTGCTGGCAAAAGCACAGTAGAAGTACTTAATTGAGGACTTATGCCTTATAAATGATTATGTGATAAACAGGACAACATTGTCATTGCTAATTTTAAAACCTATAGATTTTTTTCACCTTCATTGCAGTTTCCAATTATATGTCAAATGTACGAGGTTGAACATTATATGAACCACAAAAAAGCATAAGTCTTAGGCACTCAAAAAAGTGTTTCCAAAGAACATCGAAACAGCACTTTTTGCTTGATTTCGGATTTAAATTAAATCAACAATTCTTTACTGATGTGGTTGTTGTTGTATATACTGTATTTGCCGGGTGTGATTTTGCCAAGTAAGATACAACCCTGGATTAACATCTAAGATGAACCTCGAACATCATTTATTTTCGCCAACCTTAACTGTAAATTTTACCCAAAATCAGAGGAGGTCAATAGTCGTATAACAATAATAGATGATAATGTACATAAACTGTAAGTCTAAACTTAATCTAAACTGTAAACCTGTTCCTCAAAACGGATTGGAATGTTGTTTTAGGATTTCAGGATAAATATAGATGTACAGTCAAGCCTGAAATCACACACACACACACACACACACACACACACACACATATATATATATATATATATATATATATATATATATATATATATATATATATATAATTTATTTATTTTTTTGCAAATCTAATGCAAAGGAATTAATTTACACAGAATTACCACATCTATTTTAAAGATAGGCATCACAGTGATACAGTGGGTAGCAAGATCACCACACAGCAAGAAGGTTGTTGGTTCAAGCCCTGGCTGGGTCAGTTGGCATTTCTGTGTGGGGTTTGCATGTTCTCTCTGTGTTTGAGTGGGTTTCCTCCGGGTGCTCCGGTTTCCCCCACAGTCCAAAGACATGTGCTATGGGTGAATTGATCAAGCTAAATTGGCTGTATGTCTGTGAATGAGTGTGTATGGGTGTTTCCCAGAACTGGGGTGCAGCTGAAAGGGCATCCGCTGTGTTAAACATTTGCTGGATAAGTTGGCGGTTCATTCCGCTGTGGTGATCCCTGATGAATAAAGGGACTAACCTGAAAAGGTTGAAATAGCAGGTTGAAAAAATGAATGAATAATTGAATAAAGATATAAATATGTATCTCACATTAAAAACCTTTTATATTGAGTTAGTGCTTAAACACACACACACACACACACACACACACACACACACACACACACACAAACCAACACATTCCCTCGTTTTAAAGGGTATCCAATTTCATTGGGAATTAAAATCTCAACCTCATACACAATGTTGTAACATCCAGGAAAACCGATGTATTGATTGTTTCAGGATGCTGGACATTTCACTGTGTTTGGAGTAGTCAGATGTACACACACATACTGTACGTATACATATTCATGTTTAGAACAGCAAAGATGTATTATTTTTGTGTTAAATATTCCCTCAATCTCATATTAACAGGGCAGTGTTTGTCTTGAATATGTGAGTATGTGGGTTTTGACAGTTCAATTAAAGCACTATATCTCTGAACTGCCTTTATAAAGCAACAACACTTTTCTGTCTCTACTGTTGTCCACTCTTTCATACTGGTTCCATTCTTTTTTCGAGGTGTTTTATCTGTAGAGACAGTGCTGCTACTAACCAACCAACTAAATGCAATATAAAATATTAATAATAATAGAGTAAAAGTATTAATACATATGTGAATGCAAGCAGTTCTATAATAAATTGTGTGTGTGTGTACTTTGAAGCACATAACTTGAAATAGCAAGAACACACCAATACTGAAACTTTATTACTAATACAGGCCTTGCCTTAGTTGCTGGGAATTATTTGTAGTTGAAAAAGTAGACAAATATGTTCCCATCAGGAAACTTAAGGCTACAATCAGTGTTTTAAAGTAGATTTTGTTTAGAGTAGATTTTGCGCTGTATAAAATGACATATTTTTCTTGGCTCAACCAACAATAAAAACACTGAAAGCATATGACATCAGTGGCTAGGTTTGAAGGCAGATTTTTCATGTCTACTATAAACCCATAAAAGAGGAAAATAAAGTTATGAAAAAAGAACTTGCACTTAAGAAAAGCCAATGTTTTCATATCACTATTACTAATAATGCGTTCAACAGAACTCATGTTTACAAAAACTCAACACTATCAATGGAATAATCTGGTTAATATGACTAATCACAAAGTTGACAAATCACCCACTTATACATGACCACTTACAGTCCCAAGCACATCAAATCAAATGTACAACAATGACCAATGAGTAAGCTGATTTCAAGATGAATTTATTTACCTACTTTGGTGGAGTGTTTATGGAAAGTTATTGACTAATAGTTTCAGAAGGTGTAAATAATAGAGTGCATTAGTGCCTGTTCACTTTTTTCAGCAGCTTTGGTTTCCTAAAACAATTCTTCAAAAGTCTTTGTGAAAGCCTTTTAAGACATGAGCCAAAACAAATTGGTCATTATGAGGAGCATCAGAACATTACAAGCTTATCTTAAACAAAGTCTATGCATATTCAAAGAAAAAGCATGGAGAAAAATCTGCATATCCAACTCATGAAGCACTGCAAATGAAATGATTTAAAAACAAATAAAAAATAGATAGAAAATAATAATACATTCATTCATTCATTTTCTTGTCGGCTTAGTCCCTTTATTAATCTGGGGTCGCCACAGCGGAATGAACCACCAACTTAAAATAATAATAATAATAATAAATTAAAATTGTTGGTCGCACCTACAAAATCATATTGAAAAATGTGAATATACAAATTTATACACATTTAAATACCATATACAGCATCATAGATCTGCACAATTTAGCTTATTAATTAAGATTAATTAAGATTATTTTAACAAAGCAGTTAAAAGTCAATGAACAACCCCAGAGCTCACATCAGGTCTGTTGTTAATGTTTAGAAGTTATTGCTCGTTTCTAAGAGAAAATGAATGGAGCTTTTCTGCTGTGCCAGCAACAGTTTGCCTAAGAAAATACTAATCCATAACAGCATAAAAAAAACCCGAAATAAAACACTGTAATACTTGTTGTGTACCGGTGAATCCATATGCCATGAAATCTCTGTATACATCAAATAAAACCGGAACCTGAATTTCCATTGGACTTCTTTTCCTCCTCATTTCAGGAGACCACAATGCAACAAGGTTCTATCTTCTTCTCTGATGTGTGTGCATGTGTGTGTATGTGTGTCTCCTTCTCTCCTCAAGTGACAAAAGCAAGACCCCATTCCTAATCTGACCCCAAAACAGCAACGAAATCCCCCCGGCCTTATCATCCTCAGCCTGGGCTCTGTTCTCGCTCTTCTTTCATATCCCCTGCCTCTCTTTCTTTCTTTCATTCTCTCTCTCTCTCCGTCACTCTCCATTGCATCTTCTCTCCCCAGTATAACCTCTTCCTCTGTCTCCTTCTCTCTGTAAACGGCTTTCAGCCGAGCAGAGATTACCTAGACCATGCTCTTCAGAGCAGCTTCAAAAAGGGTGCTGTGGGCTGCCAGCCTGGATAACGCCCCCCTCCCACTTCTGCCCGGGTGGAGAGAGGGAAAGTCACAGGAAGAGTGTCTTGGAAAATGTTTGCAGAGAAAGAGAGAAAAGAAATACAGTAGATGCAGAGGATGTCATATGATAGTAATATTCACACAATGCTTGGAACTGATGAATATTATTCACTAACTGGAGTGACTCCTGAATTTTCCTGTTCACTCAACAACTTCAGGACAGATCTGAATATTTGAGAATGCAAAGTTGAAGTGAAATGATCATTTTGTTATTTTTTTTAATAACATAAAATATAATAAAATTTACTAAACCAACATTAAATATATCAATGAATATTATATTTTTGAAATCATCAAAAATATACATATTAATAAAATAAAATAATTCATTCATTTTCTTTTCGGCTTAGCCCCTTTATTAATCAGGGGTCACCACACTGCAATAAATCGCCAACTTATCCAGCATATGTTTTACGCAAAGGATGCCCTTCCAGCTGTAACCCATCAGTGAGAACCACCTATACACTTTTATTCACACACATACACTACAGACAATTTAGCCTACCCAATTCATCATTAACGCATATCTTTGGATTTGTGGAGGAAACCAAAGCACTTGGAGGAAACCCACACAAACACAAGGAGCAAACTCCTCACAGAAATGCCAACTGACCCGGCCGAGGCTTGAACTAGTGACCTTTTTGCTGTGAGGCGACAGCATTACCTACTGCGCCACTGCAACGCCCAAACTAAATAATACAAAATAAAATATGTATTCAAAACTTAGATTCAGCGACTAAGTCACTCCCAAATACAGTTTTTGAAGCTCACTTAATTTAACTATATAATGACATTATCTTTTAACATATTTATCACTCTTAA